GCAGGGAAGCTGTACTTTCCAGAGGACAAAAGGACACCCTTCTGGTGGCTTGTGGGTTCAGCCTGTACTTTCTGAAAGTGTCCCAGGTTGTTGGGGGGGAGGAAGGGCGATCAGGGGAATTATGGGAATTTACCAGCCTGGAGCTTCCTGGTCATAGTCTATGATTTTCTGTCTTCTGAGGTGTGCTTTGGCTCCGATTACAAAGTATTTTTCCCAGCTTGTGCCAGTGTTACTGGTTTAATATGACCTTCGAGGATAAGCTCCCAGTACTCGTTTGCTGGTGGAGAAGAAAACCAGGATTACGGATCTGATTTGCTTCAGCTGGTTTTCCTTCGGAATATTCCAGAATTGAAAGATGCTGCTTCCCTATCTTACTTAGTAACACACTCTAGTGTTTCAAAATTTAATTCATACAGTGATTTTTATGTGAAGCTTGCATTTACAGTAGGAGAGATTTACTTCTTTAGCCATCTTGGGGGGAACAGCGAACAATTGCCTGTACAAAGCCCCTTCCTTGAGGCTTTCAGCAGACTTTCTGTTATCCAGTGCCCAGATCCAAATCCTTGCTCAGAGTTGTGGGTTGTTTTTTTTTTTTTTTTTTTTTCCAAAAGGTTTTTCTAACAGACATTATTATCTGTTAGTGCCCTCTGCTGGACTTCCTCCATATTCTTCTTGACTTGAAGCTGGAGAGCCCAGAATGGACACCCAGGCCGTCCAAGGTCTTCATGAAAACGGAGTGGTTGGGAGGTGGCCCTTGACCTTCTGGCATTCCATATCCATGAACACCCTAGTCTGGTGTTGCTTTTTTCATGACCTCAAAAGACGGGTAGATGCATTTAGGGAGCAGAACGAGCTTCCCGGGGGGCCTGCATCATTTAAAAAGGCTCATTTAAGGGCACCCGAGTGGCTCAGTCCTTAAGCATCTGCCTTTGGCTCAGGTCATGATCCTGGGATCAAGCCCCCCATGTCAGGCTGCCTGCTCAGAGGGAAGCCTGCTTCTCCCTCTCCTGCTCCCTCTGCTTGTGTTCCCTCTCTCTTTGTGTCCCTCTCTGTCAAATAAGTAAATAAAATCTTAAAAAAAAAAAAAAAAAAAAAAGAAGGAAATGGCTCATTTAAGAGAAGAGTTAAGAGTTGATGTGAGAGGGTGAGCCAGCCCCTATCTCTGGAAATTCTGCTCAACAACATTATCTCATGGGGATGGAGTGGAGGAGTGCGTGGGTGGCCATCTCACTTTTTAAGACTGTTGAAAAGCAAGTTCCGAACATGGGAGGACAGAGGACCAGCCCCTTCCCGGGAGCTGTAAGGGAGGGGTTCTGTGTACTATAGGGCTGTTGCCACCAGGGATTCCTGCCTTTTTTTCTGGTGTCACCTTTCTGGCATGTTCCCTGCTCGCCCCCAACAGGAGTGTCTGCCCCCCTGCACCTCGTCTGTCTTCTAGTGTTGCGGCTTCACCTTGTGTGGCCAATACTCGCACCTTCTCTGGGCCTCCTTTATGTCCCCGTCTCCTAGCACAGTGTCTGGTACATAAGTGTTTGGTAAACAGAGCTAAAATAGAATGTCTTTCCTTTTTTTTTTTTTTTAAGATATTATTTATTTGAGATACAGAGTGAGCGCAAGAGAGAGGGGAGAGTGAGCAAGTACATGAGCAGGGGCAGAGGGAGAAGCAGGCTCTGCTGAGCTGAGAGCCCAATGCGGGGCTCGATCCCAGGATTATGACCTGAGCCAAAGGCAGACGCTTAACTGACTGAGCCACCCAGGCACTCCTAGAATGCCTTCTCTTCTCAGTTCCGTCTGTCCTGAATCTCTCTGAATTTCAAGTGTCCGCACTAAAAGCCTTGTTGTCAGGACAGTCTTTCTTCTTTCTCTTACTGGCCTGGTATTTTATGTTTCTGGAACATTTAGTATTTCCTTCTAAGAGTTAGGATTTTCTACCTTTTTGTTTATTTTTCTTAATTCGGGGTTTGGGGGGTGCGCAGCAGGTAGAGGGAGAAGCAGGCTCCCCACTGAGCAAGGAGCCCGATGCGGGACTCGATGTGGAACTCAATCCAAGGACCTTATTAGGATCTTGACCTGTGCCGAAGGCAGCCGTTTAGCTGTCTGAGCACCCCCACTCCCACCCCGGGCGCCCCTGATTTCCTACTCTTAAATGTAAAATATATTGCCTCTTCCTTTCCAGACTGTAAACACTGTGAGCACAGGATCCTTCCCTGACTAATGTCTTTATGGTCCAGGACCCACAAGATGATGCCTTACACCGAATAAGAGCAAGAATGACAGTAACACACACACAGCAGCTCATGGGCAGCACACACTTTTCTCCATGCTTCCCATATGTTCATTCTTTAATCTTTGCAACATCTCTGTAAGGTCAGAACTATCACCACTAACATGGACCTTCCATTTTGTAGGTAAGGAAAATGGCATTAAATCATTTGCTTGGGGTCAGGTCATGCGGGCGCAGAGGAGCCTGGATTCAGTCCCAGGCAGTGTGTTCTGGAGCCTAGACTTAAACCCGTTGCCTGATGCCACCTCCCGCTGGCACATGTGCCCACGGACCACATTACATAAATATTTGTCAAGTGCATGCAGGTTAATGTTTCTTGGTGATTTAGAACCAATAAACCGTCTGGAGGAGATCCATTGGCGCTTTCATCTCCACCATCTGAACTGCTTCTTGAGCAAGGGGCAGGCCAAAAGGGGGCACCAGAAGGTTGCTTCTAGTTTGGGTTTTGGAAGTGAGGGATGGCTTGGGTTCTGGTTTGGAAGTCAGCAGTGCCACCTAGTGGGACAGCTTGTGAACAGCCCCTCAGAATTTTTCTGAAACCCTGGTACATCGTCATTTAATTCTGGGAGCCCCTTGATTAGCTTAAAGTTTTGATTGCCAGAGAGAGGGTAGGGTGAGAAGGGAGGAACCAGGAGGAATGGAGTCAAACCAAGTCTCTTCTTTGAAGAGGCTGTAATGCTGATCTTGGGCCTCTGGGTTGGTTGACTGCCGTTGGCTGTTCCACTCCGCCTCGCACGCGCTGCTGGTGGTGTAGACTGGCTTTCCTCTCATAATGCTTGCCCGGTCTGCTTTGGAATTTGAGTTCCAGTCAGCTGTGGGTGGCCTTACCCTAGTGCCACATGTATCCCAGGTTCTGTAGGAGACTCCGTGCCCGATGCATCATAACAAGTTAGTCCCAGTGTAAGAAATCCCATTGGGTCAACAACACCGTGGCACAATTTTGTGAGGAGCAGGTTTGTTTTGTTTTAAGATATTATTTATTTATTTGACAGAGAGATCACAAGTAGGCAGAGAGGTAGTCAGAGAGAGGGGGATGCAGGCTCCCTGCTAAGCAGAGAGCCGGATCCCAGGACCCCGAGATCATGGCCCGAGCCGAAGGCAGAAGCCTAACCCACTGAGCCATCCAGGCACGCCTGAGGAGGAGTTTTTAATGGGCGAGTCTTTGAGACCTCACGAAGGGGAGGAAAAAGGAGGAGGAACCACTCCACGGGGAAAAGTAGGAACAAAAGTGGTCCGTGTAGAGTAAATGAAAGAGAAAGGACTTGTGTACACACTTGGGTTCCACCAGGCAGTTGGAGGCCGTCTGTGTTTGGTGCTCTTCTGATTTCCGGTGTATGTATGAGCTTGAAAATTTGGTACAGGTTGCTTCTAAGTTCGTTTACTTCTTGCTGAAAGAACAGAGTCTAAGAGCGTAGTGATAAGTGTGACCACAAAAAAATCACGTCCCACTTTGGGGGAGAGCGCACAGGGATGGGAGCAAGCTCTCACCCTGCCAGACTGCAGAGTTTCAGCCGACCTGGGGGTCTCATCGGAGGAATGCAGTCCCTGGAGATGAGGGATTTTTGTGCTGAGCCGTCCATCAGAGCAAGGAAACAGTTGGGTTCTACTGGAGCCTGGGTTATAGTGACATTTATGGTAATAGCAATTTATTAATAGACTCTCTGCAAAGCAGGGGGTTTGCTAGCTTTTTCTGTAAGGGTCCAGATAATAAATATTTGAGACTGCAAGTCTGATGAACTCACGACTTGCTTATTCAGCTTTGCCTCAGCTCTTCCTTGACAGGGCAGCCCCAGAGGATATGCAAATATGTGGGTGTGGCCATGTTCCAATAAAACTTTATTCATGACTCTGAAGTTTGAATTCCATAACAATTCTCGTGTGTCTGTGAGATGTTATTCTTGTTTTGACTTTTCCCCCTAACCATTTAAAAAAACAAACATCATTCTCAAAGGGCAGTAGAAAGAAACAATGGGCAGCTTCAGGTTTGGCCTGGAGGGCTAGAGTTTATTGACTTCTGATCAGATGCTTGGATTAGTTAATGAATAACAATAAAAATCGTGTGTTTAGTTAGTAGTCATAAGGTGCCTGGACAGCTTTTTTTTCCTCTCAAGTAAGATGAAAGAGGGGCGAATTCCACATAACTCCCATGGAAGTGTTTTAAAGAGCAGAGCTCTGAGCATTGAAGTCCTAGCTAGAATCCTCTCGCCTGCAGGGTGGGTGTTCAGGAGTGGAGGGATTTATCCTGTAATCCCGCCTTTATCCTCAACCTTGCTCTGCCTTCCCAGGAGGCAGAGAAGCTGCCTGCTGACCTCTGCCCCCACCAAGTGTTTCTCCCTGCTGCAGTTTCCCCCTCCCTCCCAGTCTGTACCTGCCTCTGGGGTCTCCAGGGACGTTGAAGAAGAATGGGCTTGTTACCCTGCTCTACAGATTAAGAGGCCCAAGTGTAGAAAATGCTGGAGGCATTTGCTCCCCAAGACTGTGTAGACAAGGAAGAACCAGGAACAGCAAGATCTTCCTCTTAGGCCTCAGATGTGATGGGTGGGGTTTGTACCAAATTGTGTCATTCCACCCGCGTCTGGCCTGTCTGTACATCTTGCTTAAAGTAACATGGGGGAACTTGTATCTTTGAAATTTTGTAACGTGGTTTCTTTGTCTAGATGACCTCCCCCAGTGTTGAGAAAGAAGGTAACGGTTCCTATCCTGTGTCTGTCTTCAGCAGCCAACAGAGCAGCCAGCAGAGCAGCCACGACGATGATGCCAGCAGGTTCCTGAGTCCCAGAGCGCGGGAGGAAAGGTAAGGCCAAGGGAGGAGAGAGTGGATGGGCTGAAACGTGGGAGTACAGTCGCCCTCCAGGCACTGGGGGAGAACCGTGGGCGAGGGGAGGAGGGAAGAGGGAGGAAGCGGCCAGGCCTCTGTGCTCAGATCGGGCAGAGAGATGGGATGTTCACGCAGGAAGTGAGAGGGGGCCGCGCAGACCGACGGCTTCTAAAGGCTTCTGCTGTTCAGCTGGGAGCAAGGTCAGCCTGTGGCGAACCCCAGGTCCTGGGAAGAGGCGCGAGCGGACTTGGCTTGAGGCGTGTATTAGTGGCTGCGTGCAGTGTGGACAGGTCCGATGTGTGACAGCGGAATAGCAGGATGGAGGTGGACTGTGGGCGTTAGAGGTCAAGGAGGGTGGACAGGCAAGGGGCAGTGAGCATGAGGCCCCGAAGTGCTGGCTGGAGGGTTCGCGGTGCAACGAAGTTAAACGCTCAGGATGTGAGGACCAGACTCTGCTCCGTGGAGGGCCTGTGCGGTGGGCGGACGGGTCTGTTGTGGCAGGTGAGGCTTCGGTGCCCGTTGTGGCAGGCGAGGCTTCGGTGCCCGCGAAGGGTGACTGGCCTGATGTTAACTAACGAGAAAGAGGTCTTCGTCGGGACACCACAGGGCTCTGCTTTTGGTCGTGCTCTGTCTACTGCTTTTGTCAACGCACTGGATGAGGAAGGAGAACGTACCTCTACATCATTTATCAGACTTAGGGCAGACACTGAGCGGGGATCGAGAGAGAAGACGGAGGCCGACCGACTCAGGATTGAGTATTTCAGATGGAACAATGGGTGCAGACGACAATTTTTTTTTTTTTTAAAGGAAAGGTGCTAATATATTTATATTTAGTACTTAAAAATCTATATTAGAATAGTTTCTTTTTTAAATTTTATTTGTTTATTTGATAGAGCACAGGCAGGGGGAGCGGGACAAGGAGAAGCAGGCTCCCCCCTCTGAGCAGCGAGCCTGATGCAGGGCTTGATCCCAAGACCCTGAGATCATGACCTGAGCTGAAGGCAGAGGCTTAACCCACTGAGCTCACCCAGGCGCCCCCTAGAATAGTTTCTTAAATGTAGGATTTAGGATTATCGTTGAAAGTCCAGATTTGCTCATTAAAAAGAGAAAAAGACCTCACTGGTCTGTACTACTTGGATTATAACTGGTGTATCATGTCCAGTTCTTTGGAAGTAGATACTGATAAATGAAGAGTCCAGAAGGAATGGTCGGGTTGATAACGTATTATAAGGACCGGTAGAAGGAAGAGTGGCTTAGCCTGGAAAGCAGAAAGTTCACGATGAGTAGAACACCACTCTTAAAGTACCTGAAAATCTAAGACATAGAGTGAGAGGCGGAGAGATCCTAGTGAGAAGGATTCCAGCTCAGGATAAGGACAAACGCTGTGATGACAGTGTATCCCTTGGGTTCCAGCAAAAGCTGCATGGTGTGTCATAAGGGGAGCCCCTCTGGCCAAGAGCGTGGGCCTTGGGGAATCCTTGTACTTATCTCTTTACATTATAAAGTTGTGTAGTTCTTGGGGTGCCTGGGTGGCTCAGTTGTTAAGCATTTGCCTTCGGCTCAGGTCATGATCCCGGGGTCCTGGAATCGAACCCCACATTGGGCTCCCTGCTCCACGGGGAGCCTGCTTCTCCCTCTCCCACTCCCTCTGTTGTGTTCCTTCTCTCGCTGTCTCTCTCTCTCTGTCAAATAAATAAATAAAATCCTTTAAAAAAGTTGTGTAGTTCTACCCCAGTTCTCAAGTATCAGTCCAGCTTATCAACTCAAACAGAGCAGATAGAAGGCAAAGGGCCACCAGGGGCAAAGACTAATCATTCTTGTCAAGATGCTTAATCAGTGACGATCCCATGGCAGTTCTGTCTGTCTCTTGAGTGGCCTACCCTCCCTTTCCATTGCTTTTTTGGAATTCATCCACCATACTCACAAAATTAGCAGGGACCCATGAGTTCCCTTGGCCCAGCTCCCTTCCCTGTGCTTGGGTGTCAAACATCTCCTGAAGTGTCCTGTCCATTTCTGGTCATAGTGTCTTCTGTTGGTCCAGATGGTCCTTGTCCAGCAGCATTCTGACTGGTAGCTCCTCGACTCCTTTTATCTCGGCTGCTTGGGGGCCTTCCTCGGAGAGAGGGAACAGGTGGTGAGTTGTGGACTCTACATTTTTTCCCAAGGCAACTTCAGCTCTTCCTCTAGGACATGACTGCTTGCCAACTAGAGAGAGCCCTGCCTTTTGTTTGCTCTTTGGGATTGTATATTGCCATAAATTCTGTTCTAGCTTCTTCTCTGCCCCCTTCCTCAACCAAATGCAATGTTACAGCAGGTCTCCAGTCAGAACCTCTGCCCAGAAAAGTCATCTAGATGTCTTCCCTGCTCCTTCCCACTCCCGGCCCCATGACGGCTCCCTAACTCTTCATGGTGGACAGTGGATATAATTTTGCATCAGCTCACCTTGGACAGTACGGGAAACAAAATCTGATCAGAAGTATGCTTCCCGTGGTGGTCCCTGCAGACCCTTGCCTCGGAAACTCAAGACTGGAATGCGTTCACCATGGCCATTCTGAATGAAGTCTTTTTTCTCTTCGCATCCAGTTGGTTCTCCTGGAGAGAATAGGTCCTCGGAGTGCTAATTAATCACCAGCCTCGGTTCACAGCAAACCCTCAACACTCTACCCCTAACCCTTCCTCTAATATGTTTTTACCCAATTAAGAGACTCTCTGGGGCGTTTCGGATGCTGGCCCGTGTTCTCCTGGCCTGGGTCAAGCATGAGATCCAAACCCTGGGGAGATTGTCAGCAGTGGCGAGGGTCTGGCTCCTTGCTCCGGGCCCCCATCTGATGGATGGTGCGCCCTGCTGGTTGTGGTGGCATTTCCCACAGAGGCGAGGCCTTTGTGTGACCTGTATTCTCGTGACTCCCCTGGGAGGCTGCTGAGCAGGTATTACGGATCGAAAATGGTCAGGTAGGAGGCGGGTAGCCTAGACCCTTTTCTGTGGTTGCCCCTACTTCTCCATACCATGTGGTCAGTTCCAGGATGAGGGACAGTTTCACAGAACAGGCAAAAAAGGAAAAAAAATGAACATCAATTACTTGTGTCTTAAAGATAAAAATTCTAATCCTTCAGTATGATGTACACTTTCAGCTGTTAAGTAAGACACCAATTTTTCTTTTTCTTGTACAAGGTTCAGAATAGATGGGATATTTAGAGACAAACTAGGGCCCGTCTGGTAGTTTAACAAATGTCCACCCGATGGCAAAGGAGGAGATGCCACAATAGGGCATCCAAACCCAAGGGCTTCTGAGAGTTTTCCTCCTCATTCACATCAGTGTTGATTCCTGAAGGAGAAAGCCTTTGGGTCTGTAATAGGGGCAGGTCGGTGGGAGGGTGCAGGGAGGCAATCATTTCCTGGGCATGTGTGCATCAAGAAGAGTTGATTTCAGGAAGAAAATCAGAAATGAGGACTGTCTCAGAGACAGGAACTCAGGTTTCCAGTAGAAAGAATAGACCCACCTTCTCCAAAGTCTGTATGTGTGTGTGTGTGTGCGCGCGTGTAATCAAATGTGGGATAGTAAATTTATTTTCATGCTTCTAGGTGAAGCCAGGGATACCCTTAAAAAACACTAGTTCCCAGGTTCAGCCCAAACCGGACCAACTGTCAGGGTTTCTCACATTGCCATATCTTTATTTCATACATTCACGTGATGGTAGGAACTGTCAAAGCCAGAGCTGTAGAAAAAGGAGCTGTTTCACTGAGGACGGTTTATACACAGTGTTAGTTTCAACAGAACTCGGTCCTGGTTGACCAGAAGCCTTTCCGTGTAGGAGGATGGAGCCCTGGGCAGGGCTGGGATGTAACCAAGCACCAAGGCTAGGCTGCCTGGGTTCATGTATCTGTCCTTGCATGCAGTGTGTGTGCCCCAAACCTTCGCTAAGTGTCTGCAGGATGCTGGGGAGCCTGCTGGAGTCCAGGCTGCAAGATGTGTAGCGGCTCAGGGCGCCTGGGTGGCTCAGTCCATTGAGCGTCTGACTCTTGGTTTCAGGACAGGTCATAATCTCGGGGTCATGAGATCAAACCCTGTGTTGGGCTCCACGCTCATTGGGGAGTCTTCTCCCCACCCCTGCCAGCTCCTGTGCACGTGTGTGCCCTCTCTCTCTTTCTCTAAAACAAATGAATAAATCTTAAAAAAAATAAAAAGATGTCTAGAGGCTCACTGCTGGTGGGCATCATGGTGTTCTAGAAAGAGTGAAATCCCTGAAGTCAAAACGGACTTAGGATTGACTCCCTTCTTCCTTATTACTCACATCTTTAGAAGCAACTTACTCACTTTTGCTCAGCCTCAGTTTACTCGTTTGTAAAAGTCTTTCCTTGAGAGGAATAAATGAGATAACGTGTTAAGTGCCACCCTGTTCATAGTAGGTGCTTAGTAAGAGATACCTGCTATGACGAGGATGGCATGAGATTTCACTTCCTAATGATCTGTGCTCTGCTGTCCTTGAAGAAGCAGAGACAGGGAGGGGACTTCTAGAATATTGATCGCCCTTAAAATGTCAAATGTGGACACCAAGGATAAAGAGATGAAGGCATGGGATTTCCCCTTGAGCATTTTCTTGTCTCCTGGTGAGACGTTCCCATAAGTATGCAAATATAATAGAATGTGATAACAGACACGGGATTTCGTATAAAGTAATAAAACTAAAGAATTTGGACGCTAAAGTGCCTAACTGGTATGAATCTTGCATGCGCTTTGAAATGTAATCCTCTCGGGCGCCTGGGTGGCTCAGTGGGTTAGGCCTCTGCTTTCGGCTCGGGTCATGGTCTCGGGGTCCTGGGATCGAGTCCCACCTCAGGCTCTCTGCTCGGCGGAGAGCCTGCTTCCTCCTCTGTCTCTCTCTCTGCCTGCCTCTCTGCCTGCTTGTGATCTCTCTCTGTGAAATAAATAAATAAAATCTTTAAAAAAAAAAAAGAAATGTAATCCTCTCAACAA